TTAAAGTTGCCAGGTTTGAAGACCCCTGATCTAAAGCAAGGAATAGCTGGGCTAGTATGGTGTCTCCATAGGGCCAGAGAGTAAATGCTCTTGGATTTGTTTTTCCTAACAAGAGACACAACTAACACACTACTCATATCTAGTATTAGTCACTCCTGGCCACAACAACCATCTGGAATCTTTAGGAACAATGCTGGATCCAGCAGGACTTCATCTGTTTCCTTAGAAGGAATGCAACTCTGTGTAGAACACACTGTACATTCAGTCCATATTTACTGAGTGTTCCTGCCCTGTCATTGTTTTCGAGCAAGGAACGCTTATAGTTTCCTTGGTATCATTTGAAAGAAAAGATAACGTTTTGGATGCCAATAGCTTATTGAAACCAACCAGCCTTAGAATTCTGGATGTGTTTCCTCACAGACTTTAGGAAGATACTATAAAGAAGTGGGAACTTCTTTAAGCCACTTAAAAGTTTCTTGAATTGGCCTCTATTCCTGGCGAACTCACAAAATAGAGCCATGTACTTTTCTTAGCAACAATACAGAAGTGGATTGAAATGCCTTCTTTCAGAATCAGCTTGAATTTCCCAATTTAGCCTCCAGTGCTGAGGTTTCTGGGTCACTTTTTCCAGCACTAACCCAGCATACCTGATTAATTTTTTCAAACTCAAGTTTTAGGTGGAGCTTTGTATATAGATTTTGTGGGGTCCCACCTTACTGCTCAGACAATCTGGTAAAAAAAAAACCCATAAAACTCATAATAGCAAATAATGCATTACAAAGAAAAAAAATAGGAAAATCCCTGCAGTTTGGGGCAATCACATTGCCAAAATTCCCAAAGATGCTTTTTCATGAGGCAACTGGATTTTCTTGTTTTCCTTCAAAGATGTTTTGCTTCTCATCCAAGAAGAGCTGAAGAGGCTTCTTGGATGAGAAAAGTCTTCAAAGAAAAACGAGAAAGTCCAGTCGCCGCGTGAAAAAGCACCTTTGGGATAACTAAGGCCTGGATGACCGAGAATCTCCATAGACATTGCCAAATTTCAGAATAACAGAGTTGGAAGGGACTTTGGAGGTCTTCTAGTCCTCCTCCATCAAGCAGGAGACCCTATACAATTTCAGACAAACGTTTGCCAATCTCTTTTTGAGAACCTCCAGTGATGGGGCACCTACAAGTTCTGAGGGCAAGTCCTTTCCACTGGTTAATTGTTCTCACTGTCAGGAAGTTTCTCCTTAGTTCTAGGTTGTTTCTCTCCTTGATTGGTTTCCATCCATTGCTCCTTGTCCTGCCTTCAGGTGCTTTGGAGAATAGGTTGACCCCCCTCTTCCTTGTGGCAGTCCTTTAGATATTGGAATACTGCTATCACGTTGCCTGTAGTCCTTATTTTCATTAGATTAGACACACCCAATTCCTGCAATCTTTCTTCATGTTTTAGCCTCCAATCCCCAATCCCTGAGTCCCCTTCAACAATGTGGTGGGAAGCTGCATAAAGCATGGGCAACTGTGTTCACAAGCTACTCAGCCTAGAAGCTGTTCCAATATAAAAAATCATTCTTGAACCCATAAGGATCCACAAGAAATTCTGGATTTACAGTTGTCATCAAAGGCTATAATGGTTTTAAAAAAAAAGAAATCAGGACTGCAGCTTCAGACTGTATTCTTGGCCCTGGAAACTTCGTGGCTAAGCAAATTTAGTCTCAGGATTATGTTTTCCCTTATTTTCAAAAGGAATATAACTAACATTTGAAGAACTAATGAGGTCCACAAGTTCCAATTTTGCCCAACTCAGTGACAAAGGTCCCAGATGAAAGCTACAGAGAGAAATAGGGAACAATAGAGGGGGAAAAAAATCTGCCATTTGTTTGTCCTTTTTTTAAAAGAAAAAAACCGTCCCCCCCCCCCCATTATAAAGCAAGGAACGTGCCTCATTGCGGTCGAGCATCATGTTTAATAAATGCAACTGCGCTGGAGACGTATTTTTTTTTGACCAACACCCTCCTGGTTGCATCAGTAGGACTAAAGATTTCACAAAAGAAGGCCCTGCCAAGGCTGTTTATGCAAAACATCTGAAGTTTCTAAAATAAACCATATGAAACGCAGGATCAATAAAACAAAGGGTTATTGCCACCCAGTGTCGTATCCTGGCAAACTGTGTTTGAACCAAATTCAGCTGCCAGCTGTTTTGCTCCATACAAAGGAAAACTCCCAAGAGTCAACAGATACTAATATTTTTCTTATTCTGCAATGCGGTGTAACCTTGTCAGAAAAAAAACATGGTCGTGCTGTTGTGATGGGCATAGAGGAATTAAAGGATTATACAACCCCCGGGTGCTCTCTGAGCTTGCTTGTTTTCTTGCAAACCGTTCATTGCCCATTCTAGGTAACATCTTCAAGGATAGCACTGAGGGTGTGACCTAGTTTGGGTAATGAAACATTGGCAAGAAAAACAAGCTCAGAGAGCCCCTCATTCTAGCCCTGGGCTACAAATATTCTCCTTTATTGGATTACATAACCTGCTACTTTTTAACCACCCAAGTTAAGCACATGGTGTGACTATAGGCCAGTGATGGCGAACCTTTTAGGGATCGAATGCCCCAAAACTAGCCCCACCCATGCTCCACCCCTTGCCCCGCCCCCACCCCACCTCCTCCTCCTCACAAATCCCACTCCTTACTAGCATTGATGATGTTACCTAGTTTGGGTAATGAAACATCTGCAAGAAAACCAGCAAGCTCAGAGAACACCAAGGACTCCTCATTTGAACCCTGAGCCACAAATATTCTATTAGCCTCTTAAAATTCTTCGGCTTGAAGGGTCTCTCTCTTTTTTTGCTCCTCCGAATAATTTTTATTAAAGATTATATAATAATAATAATAATAATAATAATAATAATAATGATGTTGGAATGGACCTTGGAGGTCTTCTAGTCCAACCCCCTGCTCAGGCAGGAAGCCTTATACCATTTCGGACAAATGGCTGTCCAGTGTTGGAGCATTCACTGCTTCTGGAGGCAGGTTGTTCCACTGGTTAATTGTCCTAACTGTCAGGAAGTTTCTCCTTAGTTCTAGGTTGCTTCTGTCCTTGATTAGTTTCCATCCGTTGCTTCTTGTCCTGCCTTCAGGTGCTTTGGAGAATAGCTTGACTCCCTCTTCTTTGGGGCAGCCCCTGAGATATTGCAACACTGCTCTCATGTCCCCCCTCGTCCTTCTCTTCGTTAAACATATTAAAGGGATAAAACTCATATTACTGTCCACAGTACAGAAATAGATCTTTATTGTACAGAAACAAGCCTGTCCACAACTTGCTCCCATTTAAGAAGCTGGCCTTACAGGATGTACAGGAAAGAGCAAAGCTATTCCTGTAAAGCAGAATCAGGAAATTACTTGGTGCTGCTGGAGAACAGTGAGGCAGCTTCACGGTTCTTGAGGAAAAGGCACACAAAGGCTGCTGAGGACAAGCAGAAAGGAGTGTTTGTTTGCTAGTCTGGAGTCTTTTGCTCTCTCTCCCAGCCACACACACACAGTACACACACACACACACACACACACACACACAGCTCCGGTAGGTTGTTTACACCTGAAGGGACTGGAGGAAAGGGGTCTCTTTTCAACTGAACTTTAAAAAAAGATTGCTCCTTTGGGTTACTCAATTGAAACTCTTCCTTAGAGTCAATGGCCTCAGTAGACTAATCAACCAAAACGTGGGTTGACTAACTTACTGATGCAATTGATGCTAGAGAAGATCCAGCTTTGGATCAGAACGACTTAGTGAGATGCCTGAAGCCACCCAACATGGACTGTTAACTACAGTTTAGAGTTTAGCGTGTTGTGATCTAGCAGGCAAGATGATTCTGCATAGAATTGGGCAAGCTAAAAATTGTCTATGGAGCCGGGCAACTCTCCTGCACACCCTCAACCCTCCCGAATTAGGTGGGACTGACTGTCTTAGGAAAGAAGATGGGAAAAACACTCTTCACCACCACCCTGACTGTTTAAGGGGGAAGGTTAATTGGCTGGGCCACGCCAGGACCAGACCCATCTGGTGCTTCTAACCCAACAGTCAAGAGAAAGGAAGGGTAATTGCTTTGGGGGTTCAGGTGAAAAAAATGAAGATCAGGGAAGGAAGCAAGGAAATGTATGTATGTATGGTACTGGAGAAGACTCCTGCGAGTCCCCTGGACTGCAAGGCGATCAAACCTGTCAGTCCTAGAGGAGATCAACCCTGACTGCTCTTTAGAAGGCCAGATCCTGAAGTTGAAACTCAAGTACTTTGGCCACCTAATGAGAAGGAAGGATTCACTGGAGAAGACCCTGATGCTGGGAAAGATGGAGGGCAATAGAAGAAGGGGACGACAGAGAAGGAGGTGGCTGGATGGAGTCACTGAACAGTAGGCATGAGCTTAAGTGGACTCCAGAAGATAGCAGAGGGCCGGAAGGCCTGGAGAAACATTGTCCATGGGGTCACGATGGGTTGGACACGACTTCGCCACTAACAACAAAAAATGCACGTATGTTTCAGTGGACAGAGCAGACTTTCTCAACCTTGGCAACTTTTACATGAGTGGGCTTCAACTCCCAGCATTCCTCAACTAGCCTGGCCGGCTGGGGAATCCTGGGAGTTGAAGTCCACCCAACTTAAAGTTCCGCGGTTGAGTTCTCAAGGGTTGAAAAACCACCGGGCTAGACCCAATCCTTAACAGTCTGAATCAAGCAACCGGAGCCCCCATCAAGTCCGCAGCGCCCTCCCATTTCCCCTTCCGAAGCCATCGATCCGGCCTCTGCGTTTTCCCCCCACCTCGATTCCCCACTCAACGGGCAGCTCAATTAAACCTCGGAGTAAATTATCCGGGGGGGGGGGGAGAGAGAGAGAGAGAGAGAGAGAGAGAGAGAGAGAGAATCGATCCTCCTCCTCCTCCGCGAGCCCTCCCCCCAGCTCAGCTCAGAAGGGGGGCGGGGGCAAGGAGGCAAAATCGAAAGGACGGGCCAGCCCCCCCCCCGGATCCTGCCAGACGACCCGCTCGCCATCCAATCCCCGTCGAAGACCCCGTCCGCCTCTCCTCCTCCGAGCCCGGCTGCAGCCCCTCGCCTGCCTCCCTCCCTTCCTCCGTTCTCCGCGCGGCGCACACGCGAGTCCGGCGCGGCATCGAGTGGGTGGGCGGGTCGGGGGGCTCCTTCTCACCCCCCCTTCCGGTCGGAACAAAGGAACCGAACTCGGGCTGGTTGCCTCCGGGTCGGAGAGCGGGATGAAGGAGGTCTCCCCGTCCTAGCCGCGGGGACTGGGCGGAGAGCCGCCGGCCTGGCCGGAGACGCGCGCAAGGGGAGCCGGGGCGGACCGATGGGGGGCGCTGCCCGGCACGAAGCCTCTTTGCAGCCGATGCGGAGCGAGGGGCTGCCGCGAGGCTCCCGGAATCCCGTCTTGAGCGGCTTCCCTTTGTTGGGTAAGGCAGGGCGATCGGGCGATCCGCTGGGGCGAGGGGCGCGCAAAGGCGAGCCTGGAGAGGGGCGAGGGGCGCGCAGAGGCGAGCCTGCCTCGCAGCCGGATTCCCCGGGAGACCCTTGGGAAAAGCGGGGGGGGGCTTCCTTGGAGAAGTCCGCTTCTCCCCCCCCCCCCAAAATAAAAGGGTGGCGGGTCCTTCTGCCTCTCCTGCTTTTCCCTAAAAGGAAAAAAAAAATCTCAGCCGCACTTTTTCCTAGCCCCGCGCCCTGCGATCGACGGCACGGGATCCCCGCGCCCGTCCCGGGATGGAGAAGGGTTGAGGGTCGTGATCCGAGCAAGGAGTTGGGGGGGGGGAGAAGTAAGGGGAAAAAAAAGGGCTCTGGTGTTTGCAAAAGTTGGCAAAACTAAGCAGCTAAGAAGAAGCCCAACGGTTCTCTCTCTCTCTCTCTCTCTCTCTCTCTTTTGGTGCTTTCAATCCCGAAAGTACATCTGCAAAACAGCTTTTTTTTTTTTTTCCTTCCCCCAAGAAAATGCTGTCTGTATATTCTTTCTGAGTGAGGCTGGTTACTTTTAGGGAACAGAATAGCGGCCATCTCATCTCCTTAACCACCTTCCTCTGGAAATCCATTTTCAATCTCGATCCATAGTCGTTTTAAGGCTGCTCCTTTCCTGTTTTCCTATTTATCAGGGCAAATCCAGATAATAAGGGCATGATCCCGTTTTTGCATAAGGCCTTGCGCTGGGTAGCCTCTCTCCCCTGCTGAAGCGCCGCCTCTCAAAGTCTTTAAATGCTCAATTTTAAGTTCCTACGGTAGCTTCATAAGAACGGGGAGGGTTTTGCAGCGCAGGAACCGCCCTATGCAAAGTAATGTTCTATTTCTCTTTTACAATACTATAACAATGTTTTTTTTCTTTAAAAAAAAAACAAACTAGAAAAAAGTAACAGTTGAGTGAAACTTATTTTTGTTTTTCTCAAGTAGCTTTTTGTGTGTATTCATGAGACTTTGCTCAGGCAAACTAAACACTTCTTGGCTATTATTATTATTATTATTATTATTATTATTATTATTATTATTATTATTATTGTTATTATGGATCATCGTACAGTCAGCCAGACGTTCAGACTGGATTTGGCATTTTGTCTACTTATCGAGTCCTTTATGATCTGTGTATAGGTAAAAGCTACTGATCTTCTGCCATTTTTTCCAAGGTCAAATTAAATGAGCAGAGGCTAAAATTGGATCCAGGTTCCAAATGTTTTGAAATCTAATATTGGGCCATAATCTAGTAGTTCAAACAAGACACTGTTCATTTTGGTCTATTTTCCCATTGAAATATAGACAATATGGATGGGTCTTAAGGTGTTTTTTTTTTTTCATTCCAGCTGGAGAAAGCTAAATATTTATTAAAGGTTTACTCACAATTAATTCCCATTAATCCATGGGATTTGATTCCTAATCCCTGAGTTTAGGATTACAGCCTTAAATGTTTCAGTGTAGCCAGCTCCTATGCTGATTTATTGACTGATTTGGGGCATTTATCTTTCAAGAAAATTCTATACATGCAAATGTTTTTAAGAGACCACACTCACTTTCTATTGTTATTGATCTTACTGTCATTAGCCTGCCATGGGCCAGAGCTGGCAAATCACTAAGGCTCTAACTTCTCTGAACTTTTCCAGATTTAGAGTGTCTCAAAGTTTTATGGGAGTATCCAACTTACTGTACATAACATTTTGGACGGGTGCTCTAGGATCTGGAATCCAGTGGATTCCTCAGTGTGGTAATCCATGAAAAAGGACATAAAGCATCATTCCATGCCTCATAATAAGAGTTGGGAGAAAGTAGAATAGTGACTGTTTCCTAGCTAGTAAAAGAGAATTGATGTCCCGCGGGAATCAAGTTAAGGTTGCATCTGCTAGCAATGTGTTCTGATCAAAGGAGAGTGGGCTTCTCAGCTGAAACAAGCCTTGATAAATTCAGGAATCTACAGATAGTCCTCAACGTCTAACCACAATTGAGCCTAAAATGTCTGTTGCTAAATAAGACAGTGTCCCATTTTATGACTTTCTTGCCAGAGTTGTTAATCACTGCACATAACACGGCTGTTCCGTGAATCTGGCTTTCCCCAATTTTGCTTGTCAGACAGTAATCACATGACCCTGGGACATGTCATAATCAAGGAGAGAAGCAACCTAGAACTAAGGAGAGATTTCCTGAGAGTTAGAACAATTAATCAATGGAACGACTTGCCTCCAGAAGTTGTGAATGCTCCAACACTGGAAGTTTTTAAGAAGAGACTGGACAGCCATTTGTCTGGAATGGTGTAGGGCTTCCTGCCTGAGCAGGGGGTTGGACTAGATGACCTCCAAGGTCCCTTCCAACTCCTATTATTGTTGTTGTAAATAGGAGCCAGTTGCCAAGAATCTCAATTCTGATCATGTGACTATGGGGATGCTTGCAATAGTTAAGTGCAAAAAACAGTCATAAGTGACTTTTTCCCAGTGCTGTTGTAACTTTAAACAGTCACTAAACGAGTAGTTGTATGTTGAGGACTACATGTATTGGATTCCATTCAGGTTTGGCATAGACCAGGGGTAGGCAACCTGGCGTCTTTTATGACTGGTGGACTTCAAGTCCCAGAATTCCTGAGCCAGCCATGCTGAGGGGAAAGGGAGAGGTTTCCAAGCTGAGCCGTGCTGGCACAGGAATTCTGGGAGTTGAAGTCCACGAGGCATAAAAGAGCCATGGTTGCCTACCCCTGGCATAGACCATCCCTCTTGGAAGGAAAGAGTTTGAAAATGGTTTCGCTTAGCAACAAAAATGTTGGGCTCAATTGAAGTCAAGGACTGCCTGTATAACAGAGCCACGTTTTCTCATGTACACCAAACCATCTGAGAATAATTGCCATCTTTCTGAATTAAACCAACACAGACATTCAGGTGACCAAACCCCTTTAATACAGGTGGTCCTCAACGTACGGCCACCATTGAGCCCAAAACTAATGTTGTTAAGAGAGAAGTTTGTTAAGTGAGCTTTCCCCCCTTTTACGGCTTTTCTCGCCACACTTGATAAGCGAATCACTGCGGTTATTAAATTATTTGCACGGTTGTTAAGTAAATCTGGCTTCCCCCATTGACTTTGCTTCTTGGAAGGTCATAAAAGAACATCACGTGACTCTTGGACACTGAATTAGTGGTCAAGCATCTTGAATGCAAATCAGGTAACTGTGGGGATGGTACAATGGTCCTAAGTGTGAAAAACGGTCATAAGGCATAAGTTTTTTCAGTGCCGTTGTAACTTCAAACGGTCACTAAGCAAACTGTTAATAAGTCGAGGATTATCTGTAGAACTTAAGCAAAGAACTTGAATCAGCTTGTGTCACCTCCAGCTTCTGCAGCCGATTCAAATGGCTTGTTTCTGCTGTAAATACAAATGCCACATGACTTTCTATTTCTTCTAAGGGTAGAGATGATCACAGCTGTTGATCATATTTAAGAATTTATTGTTGTTAGTTGTGAAGTCGTGTCTGACCCATTGCGACCCCATGGACTACATTCCTCCAGGCCTTCCTGTCCTCTACCATCTTCTGGAGTCCATTTAAGCTCACACCTACTGCTTCAGGGACTCCATCTAGCCACCTCACTCTCTGTCGTCCCCTTCTTCTCTTGCCCTCCATCTTTGCCAGCATTAGGCTCTTCTCCAGTGAGTCCTTTCTTCTCATCAGGTGGCCAAAGTACTTGAGTCTCAACTTCAGAATTTATTGAGTACCATTAAAGTGCAGGATACTATCATTCAGGAGTATAACATCTGTACTTTCCAGATGTTACTGTATTACAACTGCCATCATCCTTCAGGTTTAGTCCTAGTCATTGGGTCAGTTTGGAAAGATTGGTTCAATTTCTAAAGAGACAGTCTTAATTTAAATGTTTTGCATGTAGGGATGTGTAAAATCTCTACCTCTTCTAGAAAGTCCTTGTACTTACAACAGATAATTTAAAACATTGGGAAGAAGTAGTTCGGACAATAAAATAACTCCCTGGATAAACCACAGAATAAAAGACGAGTCAGAGGCTATGCAGGAATTCATTGTTATTATTATGCTAAAGTGCTTTGATATCAAAACACAGAATAACGTTCCACACTCCTTTTTGTCTGCCCTTTTAAAAGCAAGTTCATTTTATTGGGCCTTAGTTCCCAAGAGAGAGCTATAGCTAATCTTTTAAAAACAAATGCATTTTATTGTTTATTAAATCCAAAGGAGAGCTATCATCCAGAATGCCAGATCTGTTCAGGATCTTACAAGAGCTTGGTAGCCTGAATAACATTTTTGCTCATGAATCTGCTTATCAGAAGGTCGCAAAAGGGATCACATGACCCCGGGGCACTGCAACCATCCTAGTTACGGTTGCCAATTCTCTGAATTTTGATCACAAGACTTTGGGGATGCTACAACAGTCACACACACGTGTGTAAAACGGTCCTAAGTCACTTTTTTCCAGATCCATTGTAACTTCGAACGATCACTAAATGAACTATAGTAAGACAAGAACTATCTATTTTTGTTTTGACTGCAAAAGCAGAGGTCTCTCTTGAGTTCTACGTCAGGAGTCACCAAGCCCCAGACAGTGGACCGGTACCAGGCCGTGACACGCCAGCAATCGGTCCACACAATCAAGCAAAGCCCCATCTGTGGGATGCAGGCAGCACCCAAAACCATGCACCCTCCGATCCGTGGAAAAACCTCTCTCCACCGAACCGGTCCCTGGTGCCCAAAAGGTTGAGGACCTTTGCTCTACGATACACAATCAATTTACCTGCAGCTGCTTTTCAAGTGAAAGATTGGAAGCTGTCATGGGTAAGAAAAAAAGGAGAGAAGGTTCTTACACAAGTAGCAAAATACAATATTATTTTTTGTTTTTGCTAGGCTCCACAGAAGGGAGGACATTCACCAGAAGGGCCAACTCTGTCACCTTATTTTCCAGCTGGAAAATAAGATAACTCTACCCTCTTAGAGTCACCTATTCAGACAAATTTAAGGACATAAAATTAGCTGTTTTCCGCAGTGTTAAATTTCAGATTGCATGTATTTCGACAAATAACATTCCCAGGCTCTTTGACTGTGGGGTCACTTGATCTCCTACTCTACAGGAAGGTGGCCCTGAATTCTAAAAAGAAAAAGTCAACAGTGGCCACCACATTTGGTGCTGGAGGAGGAGTAGAAGAGACAGTGTGTTCTTTTTTTGTAGCAGTCCCTGCCCTATGGGACAGCCTTACTCCTGATCCAGCAGGTCCCCAAACCACTAGATCTCTGTAAAGAGATGGTTCTCCTCCTCCCAGATGCTGGTTTAGAGTAAGCTGGGAACTTGTGGATGGTTCTGTTGGATGTATCCCAAAAGGTGGTTGGTGTTGGTGTTTTTGGTTTTATAGTTTTCATTGTTTGTTCATTTGTTTGTTTTTTGCTTGTGCTGTTGTTGTGAACATAGCCCGTGTTCATCTGCAGAGCCAGGAACATTCAGCAAGAGTTAATTACTCCTCTTTTTTTTTAAGTTTCCGATAACTTTTACCTGTGAAATAATCAAGATAAATTGATTTCTCTAAAAGTAGCAAAATGCTGCTACATTATGTCTCAGGGTCACCCACAAATAGTTGCTTATAGTTCCCGTTGTTAGGGGATAGTTTTGTGTTTTTCGTTGTATTGACGGTGTTTTTATGGGTCCATGATCGAAATAAAGTTTTGTCTCTTTGTGTGAGCTGTTGTGAGCTGCGTTTCTAGATGGGCTAGTAAGGATCCATCCTAAGTCGCTTTTTTCAACGGTGTCATAATTTTGAATGGTGGTTAAAGAAGTGGTCGTAAGTTGAGGACTAATTGTAGTGGAGTTCAAGTTTCATGACTTGGCTTTTCCATCCTTGTCAGGAAAGCCAAGAAATCAATCTGGGACCATCTCCATGCAAAATCTGATATTTGTTAGGGAGCTGTAGCCCTACCAGTTTTCCTTCTGCATCTTCCTTAATGCTCTGCTGGTTCTTCAATGCTAGTCTGTGACCTTAAAGGTGAGATACGTATGTACATAAATCTTCTTTTGGTCAACCCCCCCAAGAGACAGGCAATTAGAAGGGAAAAGAAAAGTCTTCAAGACAAATCAACTCCTGCTTCGTGCATGTGTCCATGGCAATCAGAAGAGGCTATATCTGGTAAGTCTTGGGCGATAATTCCACTTTCATGCTTAAAAAAATAGAACTGTTAGATGCGCAACCAGCAAACCAAAAATATTGCACAAATATGTTCTTTGCCCGAGTTTAAATACGAAGTCCCTGAAAACTACCACACTGAACTTATATAAGGAGTGGACGAATTGAGTTCTAATAGGGTGCGCATTGTGCTTTACATCGCCACTGAATTTCTTTGTGAATGTTTTCAGTTGCTGGGGCAACAGAGAAACAGGGACACAGGCATACAGACAAGGGACAGTTATTGTGCTAGCTCCTTAACAAAAGGAACCAAAAGTGAAAGAATAGGCTTTTTGTATGTCTTTAGGTAGCACATATAAAGTGGTTCGTAAACAGAAAGGCAGGGCTTGCTAACCAACATTTTTATTTGTACCCCCGTCTGATGCTGAATATATAGAAACCAGAAATCTTAGCCCTGTGGATTCAATTTGGAATGCTATATATGTAATTAAGGGACATCTTTATTCATTGTGAAACACGGGAAGTTGATTTGGAAGCGTGTTAGTGCTCAACAATAAATATCATAATTTTAATGAGGTCTGTGCTTATAGCAGTGAGAATAAATTTTGGAAGAAAGATACAGAAGTGATGGAATTGGCAGAGATGGCAAAATTAACGGCTCTCATTAGAGAAAAGGCATTGGCAAAACTGAACTTTAAATGGAAGCTTTTGGTGGACTTTTTGCAAGAAACGGGGGGGGGGGAAATCAAATTATAACATAAGGATTCAGTGATTGATGGAAACTTTTGTCCATTTGAAAAGTGTATATTATAGTGTAGTCCTAGACTAAGGGTTCAATTTAAGTTTTATTTATATCTTTTGTAAAACAGTTGGAAGTCATTTTTTTATATTTCTGGGTTTTTTTCTGTAGTTTTTGTTTTCTGCTAACCTCTCTCTTCTCTTTATTCTTTCTCTCTATCTGTCCCTCTAACTATTTATGTTTGTTAGTTTTTATCTTTCAGTTCTATAAAAAAAACTTTAAAAAAAACAATGGAAGAAAGACACAAAGCTGACAACAATTGATTGGGAACTTAAACTTAGGGAATCTGCAGCAATGGCAAAACTATCAATTTAACTAAATTTAAGCAAGAATTGTTCCCATAATGTAGAAATGTAGTAAATGCCATCACTTATTGTCCAGCTTTTAAGGAAGCATATATGGCTACAAATATTTCACATTAGCAAATATATAAAAAGGGAAATAAAAAAATTAATTCTCCTCCTTTTTTCAGTGTCCTTCTTTTCCTTGTTCAAATATATTTAGATATTTTAATTTGTTAAATTTTCTTTCAACTATCTTGTTTGTCTGTCTACCTATATATACATCGATCAATTGAACAATCAACCAGTCATAATACATTGGAGAATTTAATATTAAGTAATTAGCTTAAGATCAAAACCATTACTGTATAACCAATATTTGACGTGAATTTTAGCAGTTTTTTTTTTTGCTGTTTTTAATTTTGGATGAAAATGCCAAGTGTTTTGGGGCTTGGAATATTGGCATCCTGAATTGTAATTAATATTGACAGAATGTTTACTTTTCTTTCTCTATTTTCAATACTTTAAGCTATCTAAATGACAGAACGTTAACAATTTCAACAAATTTCAACAATTGAAATTTCAAATTTTAATACAAACACTATATTAAAACAATGTGATGCATCAAAAAGTACAACAATGTAATAAAAAAGGAGAAATGATGTTAATTCCAGCATTCTCAAGAGACATCAGATTTAGATGTATCGGCTGCCAAGTTGAAAAGCATTTTTTTAAAACCTGACTTAACATAAATAGCAGGGAGCTTTATTGGGCCATCGGAAATATCTCTGCTTTTAAAGGGACTATTTAAAAAGAAATTTTAGATGCATTTTATCATTATTGTTATATATTGTGCTTTTGTGAATCTCTTTGAGTACATGCGCATGCAGAAAGGTGGGATTTATAAATTTAATAACAATAAAAGATTGCAAAAGCATAAGGAAGCCTTTGAGTTCATTATCATTTGTTAATGTTTTATGGTTCGTTCTGGTGTATTTTGCAAAAAAAAAATACAACAGTAAGATATGAACAACATCAACGGTGCTCAAACAATAAAACAATGGAACGCAGAAAGGTTTATCTCTTGCTGAAAGCTCAAGAGTGGGGTGAGATGTACTTCAGAGGAAGAGAAATGTTCACCTGGGTTCTTGCCTGGGCAGGAATGATATTAAGCGTATTTTCAGCCTACAGAATGTATTTTCTAATGTTTGTCTAGAGACGCAGTGCTGTCACTGCAGCCGGAGGTCATGATTTAGTTTATGAAAGAGAGTTTTGTATCCCCATGTGGTTTGGCATAGAAATGTCTCACCCCTGCTCCAGAATCTAAAAATCTTTTCCTTTTTTGTGAAAGTTATAAATACAAGATTATCTATCTATATCTATCTATCTATCATTATCTCTATCTATGTCTGTCTATGTACCTACCTACTATCTATCTATCTATCTATCTATCTATCTATCTATCTATCTATCTATCTACCTAATCTATCTATATCTATCTATCTATCTATCTATCTATCTATCTATCTATCTATCTATCTATCTATCTACTTACCTACCTACCTATCTTATCTATCTATCTAAACTGGCATATTTTTAAAAAGCAATACCCACAATCATCAAAGAGGATCATAGAAGCATAAAAAGAGAAATAATTAAACAATACACTTATTCTAATAACGCTTTTAAATAAAGTTAAAAATGATGCCCGGTAGTCAGATTTAACTGAATACATCTTAGCTGTGTGTTTTTTTTTCTTCTTCTTCCTGGGCTTAAGTATTTCATGGTTCAAATTCTTTGGGAGAGATTGGGTGCCTTGCATTGTCTTAACATTTGCTCCTCAAATCCCTCCAGATGGCAACTGACGTGGTTCTTTTTTTTTTTTTTTTTCCCTCCCTTCTGCTGCTTTACATACTGGGTCAGATGTTAGAGCCTGTCTTACAACAGGAAACAAGCAGCTGGAATGTCTGTTCTGCTCTTGTGTGCCAGATGTTTGCTTCCCTTCTGCCAGTCACCCAACTCTTTTGCTAGCATCGCCTTTAAATGCCTTAAGCATTTTTGTCATTGACGCAGGGAGGAAAATTATGTGGGGTTATCTGCCAACTAGGAGAATAAATTCTGCAATCTTGGTGAGGAGACAATCTGTTTCCTCAGAAGAAAAAGCTGCTTCCTTCAGTTACGATCCAGATGATTATCTAGCAATAGGATAAAAAGAGATGTTTTCTTATCCTAATGGAATCCCAAAGGAGTTTTTCAAAAGGCAATTGGACTTCTTTTCCTCTTGAAAACATTTTTCTTCTCATCCAAGAAGCTTCTTCAGTTCTTCAGATATTCTAACGGAGATTGTTCAGTCTCAGTTAGACTCCATAGCAAATAACATTGCAATAAGAAACTGAGTCCAGAACAGCACTGCGCAAAAGTCTGGACTGATTCTGTTCAAATACTTTCAAAAGATCCATGCACATTTTCTATAGCAAACACGAACTGGCTGCAGTCTGGCTGCAACTGAGGGATTGGCCTACCTTGAGGGTCTGGCTGAGTTCACACTACAAACTAGATCTCTGTTAATAAAACACAGTTGCTCTGTTTACATAACTAGTAGATAAGTACAGTGGGTTAATGTGATGGTTTGATTCACACAGCATGCTAAGCCCACAGCTGGGTTTCTATATATCAATTGGACCAACATGTTTTAATCAACTACATTTTAAACTTCAGTTTGTTATGTGAACTTAGCTTTATATTTATTCATTCATTTATCAAATTTATACACCACTCATCTCAGAGTCTAAACCAGTGGTTCTCAACCTTTCTAATACCGTGACCCCATAATACAGTTCCCCATGTTGTGGTGACCCCCAAGTGGGTGTGGCCATCAATAAGAGGGAGTAGGACAGCTAGGGAAAAGGGAAAAAATGGCGAACAGCGTGGTTTGGTGACCCCCGTGAAATGGTCATTCGACCCCAAATGGGGTCCCGACCCACAGGTTGAGAACCACTGGTCTAAACGACTCTGAGCAGTTTACAAGTAAAAAAAACCATTAAAAACTTAACAAAAAAAGTAAAGCTGTGTCTAAAAGAAATACTGAGAGTTACTCTTGTAGCAGAAATAAAATGTGAATGAGGATTTGAATTCCTCTACTACTTCAATTCAAGTGTCTGTTCCTTAGATGCAGAGAGAGATAAGGAGAAAAAATAATTTTCATTTAATCGGAACGTTGTAACCGAACACCAGAGAATGTGTTTTCTATGAATAGTTGAATAGTAATAGTAGTAAAGTTGGAAGGGACCTTGGAGGTCATCTAGTCCAACTCCCTGCTCAGGCAGGAAACCCTACACCATTTCGGACAAATGGCTGTCCAGTCTCTTCTTAAAAACTTCCAGTGTTGGAGCATTGACTGCTTCTGGAGGCAGGCTGTTCCACTGATTAATTGTTCTCACTGTCAGGAAGTTTCTCCTTAGTTCTAGGTTGCTTCTCTCCTTGATTAGTTTCCACCCGTTGCTTCTTGTCCTGCCTTCAGGTGCTTTGGAAAATAGCTTGATTGCCTCTTCTTTATGGCAGCCCCTGAGATATTGGAAGACTGCTATCATGTCCCCCCTCGTCCTTCTCTTCGTTAAACTAGACATACCCAATTCTAGCAACCATTCCTTATATGTTTTAGCCTCCAGTCCCCTAATCATCTTTGTTGTTCTTCTCTGTACTCTTTCTAGAGTCTCAACATCTTTTTTACATTGTGGTGACCAAAACTGGATGCAGTATTCCAAGTGTGGCCTCACCAAGGCATTGAAGAGTGGTATTAATACTTCACATGATCTTGATTCTATCCCTCTGTTAATGCAGCCTAGCAGCTTGAGATCCTAGGTGTTCTCTGAACTTGGTTGATTTCTTGCAGATGTTTCATTGCCAAGCCAGGTAATGTCCTCAGTGCTAGGTGATGTTACCTAGGTTGGTAATGAAACATCTGCAAGAAAACAACCGTGTTCAGAAAGCACCAAGGACCCCACAGTTCAACCTTAAGCTGCAAATATTCTCTTCTATCAGTGTTGTGTTTTTTTTTTAGTTGTGTGGGACTAAATAGAGTCTCTGAGGTCTCACCAATTTCCCAACCTTCTTGTGTTCTTCAGGAGAAAGGCTCACATCATGACTCTGTGGCCGCAAGCTTTCAACCCACAGAAGGTGCTTATTGAAGCAGTGGAGAATTCCTGAATTTCAGTACATGGATGCCACTTAATGTTGCTTCACCAAGTGCAGTGCTGGAATGGGAAATCACAGCAACAATCATACCTGCATGATTGATGATTCCTTTAAGTACAACCTCTATGGCGCTGTCTACAGTGTGGTCTTCATCCTCGGCTTAATCACCAACTGTGCCTCGTTGTTTGTCTTCTGGTTCCGCATCAAAATGCGGAGCGAGACCACCATTTTCATGACCAACCTGGCAGTCTCAGACTTGCTCTTTGTGTTCACTCTCCCGTTCAAGATCTTCTACAATTTCAACAGGAACTGGCCCTTCGGAGACCCTCTGTGCAAGATCTCAGGGACAGCCTTCTTAACCAACATCTACGGAAGTATGCTGTTCCTCACCTGCATCAGTGTGGACCGCTTCCTCGCTATTGTCTACCCTTTCCGGTCTCGTTTGGTCAGGACGAGACGTAATTCAGCAATTGTGTGTGCAGGAGTGTGGGTTTTAGTACTCAGTGGAGGGATCCTGGCATCCTTGTTTTCCACAACTAATACCACCAATGGCATAACAACGTGTTTTGAAGGGTTTCCCAAAGACGTATGGAAGACCTACTTATCCAAGATTACAATATTTATTGAAGTGGTTGGCTTCATCATTCCCCTTCTGCTCAACCTTACATGTTCATCGCTGCTTCTGAGGACCCTCAGGAAGCCAGCCACCCTCTCCCAGATTGGCACAAACAAAGAAAAAGTGCTCAAGATGATAGTTGTGCATGTCACCATCTTTGTGGTGTGCTTTGTCCCCTACAATTCCATCCTTTTCCTTTATGCCCTTGTACGTTCTCAAGCCGTAGCCAACTGTTCTCTGGAGACGTTCGCCAAAACCTTCTACCCAATCACCCTGTGTATTGCCACACTCAACTGTTGCTTTGATCCTTTCGTCTATTACTTCACTTCAGAGTCCTTCCAGAAATCATTCTACGTCATTCCTCATCTAAAAACAGACTCCCTTTTCAAAACCGAAACCCCTCTAACAAAAGTTCCCCTGCCACCAATACAGGAGGAGATGAGTGAGCAGACTATTACGAATGGGGGAGACTTGACCTGTGAATCCAATTTTTAACCCCGAAGCTTTCTGCACTAACAGTAGGATAGGCACTGAACTGCAGAGAACTTGGTATTACCCCGTAGGTGGGACTTATGTAGAACATATGTATGTATGGAAAGTCAAGCAGATGCTCTTCCTTCTGAAAACACATCCTCGTGTTTTAACTCCAGTAACGTTGCCTGTATGTACATTTTGGCTTTTGAAGCATCCGAAAAATAAAATATTTCATCTTGTCCCTATTTATTCCCTCCCCTGCTGATTACTGTAAAAAAAAAAAAAGGTAAGGATTTCCCCTCTCCAGTCATGACCAACTCTAGGGGGCGGTTTTCATCTCCATTTCCTAGCTGAGGGAGCCAGCATTGTCTGAAGACTCTTCCATGGTCATATGGCTGGCATGGCAGTACGCTGAGGCACATGGAACGCTGTTGCCTTCCCAGTGAAATGGTACCTATTTATCTACTTGCGTGTGCCTGCTTTTGAACTGCTAGGCTAGCAGGAGCTGAGGCAAGAACGGGAGCTCACCCCATCAGACGTTGCTTGGATCTCAAACTACCAACCTGTTGGTCAACAAGCCCAATGCCTTAAGTGCTAGGCCAAAACCTCCACTGAAGATGTTATTTAGATCGGTAAGGAAACATTTGGAAACCACCCCACAAGCTCAGAGAATGAATCTTCACCCTCATCCTACACCTGAGCTACAGATATTCGCCACTATTGCTAGGCTTCTGTGTAATTGTTGAGCAATGGCCTTTCCCCCCCAAATCTGATGGGGTAGAAGTAAATCTATTCTCCCAGTTCTCTTCCCCCAAAATGGAGAATGGTTCCTCCCTCTCATGTGAATTTCCCTTCCAGTTTCCCATCCGAAATGAACAAGGAATATAACCCAACATGGAACTTCCTCTGTGGGTAGAATATGAATATATAAATATCTGAATGAGTAGAATGTTAGTCATATCGGAGGCACTTGTCAAGCTAGCTTAGGATCAACATGTGTTTAGAAAGAACTAAGAAGCAGGATATGCTATCACTATCATCCTTCTCCCACTTAACCTCTATTTCTGGTTCTGAATGCAAAAAGGACAATTACAGCCAACAACAATGGGTAGATATTTCCATTGCAAATGCTGGCATCTTTGCAAGTAATTCCGGAACGTCAAGACTGACCGTTCAATGTAAGGGATTGTTTTTTCTTGAAATGTTTGCAGAGGAATTAAAAAAGATGGGGGAAAGAAACTCAAGGGATTTGTTAAGAAAAACATAATGAGGAAGAGGTGGTTCTGAACACGGGGCTGTTCTCCTGAACACTGCAGTTATGGGATCAAAATATTCCTCCGGATGGAAGATCTACACTAAGACTTTCAATCATGGGGACAGCGCAACAGTATTCATATAGGGGGTTATTTAGATGAGCTTACTGTTATATAGGTCATTATTATTTTAACCCCAGATTGGCGATAACCATGAAAATGTCAGGTGCAAAGAATCTGGAGCCACCCATTAAGTTGCAGCACACTTATTCAAGCCTACACTCAAGGATCTAAGGGGATTATTTATTTATTTAGTGTATGTCATATGACACATGGATTAGCAATAGCTATTAACATTTCATCTAGATTAGTAGGAGCCAATAAAATATAATGTTAAAAATATCTATGTTCAAATACCAAATATTAGGCCATTTAACCATTAAAGCGTAGCATTGTTTATATTAAAAAAAAATCAAATACCGGATTGGCATATGCCCTCGGTCACATTGAGGGGAGGATACTCCTCCAATATGAAGAGTGCAACTAAGCTCAGAGAGCACCATGGACCCCCTCATTTCAACCAAGAGCTACACATATTCTCTCTTATTGGTAAAAGAATTTAGTCAAGTTCAGTACTAAATTGGTGCCAGATAAGGGTCAACGGAATTCAAGAGGGGTTGGGATTAGGCCATTTGTGGGATTGTAAGGACTCTTAAGCTGATGACGTGCTTAACTCAACTCTGTTTGCTCTTCCCCTACAGAAAGAAGCCTGGTAAAACATCATCTAGTCCAGGGGTCTTCAACCCCTGGTCCATGGACTGGTATCAGGCCGCGGCATGCCAACAACTGGTCTGCACAAACAAACAAAGCCCCATTCATGGAATGCAGGCAGCACACAAAACCACGCACTCTCCGGTCCGTGGAAAAACCTTTCTCCACAGAACTGGTCCCTGGTGCCCAAAAGATTTGGGGACCTCCGATCTAGTGAGTTTAGGGGGATTGCAAGTGGGCATGAAGTGGTCCTTCATAAGGATCAAGCATTGGATAACATCCCTGAATTCTCAAATTGTTCAAGCTAAATTTGCATCCAACATGATTCTTGGATATCTCTCCCCCCCCCCCCTCTAATTTTCCTACAGAAGCTCAAGCTGGGATAATTAATAACACCATACAGTTTCTTCCCTGGGAGGGTGGGATTGTCAGAACTCAAAGAAAGGAGTAAGTAAAAATGTTGGCCTCCCCCATCACATCTCATCATTCCCGTCTCTGGGAAAGTGGCTTTTCCCCTTCTCTTTCATACCGACGGGATTTAGAAGATTTGAGCTTGCCTGGTGCCAGAACCTCATTTTGAGTTTAAATGAAAACAGTAGAATCCGCTCTTTCGATGTAAAAAGGAGAAGAGTGTTTTAGTTGGGCCGAAGTTGAAAGCAAGAGGGAGCCAGTGCTTTTAACATTGTTCCTTCTGAGCAGAACCTCTGACAAGTTTATTTAAAACTTGGGGGAGGAATGGGAAGCTGCTTCTTTAAAGACTTGGAGAAGACCACAGTCTAGCTTCTCTAAGGAAAAGTTGAAAGCTAGCAAAGGGGGGAAAAAAATCAGCTGGGGCTGGACTGACTCCAGGTTAACCCATACATAAAGGGACTCTAATCCTAGCATAATGCAGGCTCTTTTTTTTATTATTTTGCTTTCTTTTTTAAATTCGAGGTCCTGCCAAAGCTTACAATGTTCCTTTTTTTCTTTCTTTTTTTTTTTTTGGTTTTACAAGCCAAGAGTTGTGGTCAATTTTCTCACGTATAATCCCAGGTTCTTTTCATCTGCCAAAAATGTAGATGAAAAGATTCATTATTTTGTCATTTAAGGCCTTAAATAAATTTACCCAGAGATCCTACTGGGTTGCTGAGGATTGCAAATAGCAAGACGGGATGGGTTCTTTTTCTTTTCTTTTATTATTAATGGAAATAAAAACGAATGCCTGCATGAATGTATGTTTTATGGGCATGCATGTGACTAATTAGCATTCAGGGCAAGGGGGCTCCGTTGTTCCTTTTAATTGCTGCACTCATGGTCTGAATAGAACTTCTCTCAGAAGTGGAGAAAAATGAACTTAGCAGAGCAGCTGAGAATTCTGTTCAGCAATAAACTCGTTTTGGAATCCAGTCTCATAATCTCCTTACGGGGGGGTTTTTTTTGGAGGGGGGGGAATGAAAGAGTACCATCATATAAAAGCTGATCTCAAGCTTCTTGGAGGATGTTTGTTGTGATGGAGACACATTTCCTAGCAAACTCATTTTCCCCAGATTAGGAAAATTGCTAGCTTCAGAAGCTAAGGAAATACGTGTTTGTGTCTTATCTTGGTTGCCTGCATGTAAAAAGGGGAGGGCTTCAAATGCCTAGTCTTGGCTGCCATCTTAACTTTTTGAAACTCCTACAGATGCTTCTGGAGAGACTGCAGAGAAAGAGGATTTTTTGATGTTGGCATTTTCTTTCCTCTGTCTGGAATCCTCCCTCTGATCTTGCAGATGATCTGAAACATCACAAGACAATTTTTCTAAGGGCCGGTGATGGTATAGTGGTTGGAATGCAGAATTGCAGGCTAACTGCATTCCCACTGCCAGGAGTTCGATCCTGACCGGCTTAAGGTTGACTCAGCCTTCCATCCTTCCAAGGTTGGTAAAATGAGGAGCCAGATTATTGGGGGCAAGAGGCTGACTTTGTAAACCGCTTTGAGAGAGCTGTAAAAGCACTACGTAGCAATATATAAGTCTAAGTGCTATTGCCATGGCATTCTAGATGTTAAACAAGTGAATATTTCAAGTCCAGAAACATCCTTGAAAAAAGAAAAAGTGGAGGTGAAGCCAGTACCTTTTGAAAAAAATACTGAAATTGTTCTGTTGGTTGTTTCCAAAAATGACAACTTTACACATTCATAAATGGAGTTGATGAACATCGTCCTGGGTTTGGGTGGCTTAAGATTTTCTGAAAATCCAGCATTTGAGTTGTCCAGCAGTTCTTTGCTTTCTTCTACCTTCCCCTCCCTACCTTTCTCTCTTTTGCAAAATATCTGTCAGCCTCACACCAGAAGATCCCAGGATCCTCTTGATACTTCTTATTTGAAGTTGTTCTTAGCCTTGTAGCAACTTCTGATTAATCTCTGGGATCATGAGACCGTAACCGTCAGATGGTAGCTTTGATCTTTATCCAGCAAACCATCTGGAAACGTATTTCAGACTGGCGGCTGCTTCTTTCACTCTCTGTGTGGTTTTCAGCAGAATTTCCGCTGAAGTTTTTTTAAAATGTATCCCAAGTTTCAGGGTTATTAAAAAAAAAAAACAGTATTAGAAGTTCTCATCCGTCTTCAAGGTGTGATATTTTTTATTGCTTTGTAAAGGGGGGAAGAATATATATATTGTTTTGCATTAAAAAAAACCCAAATAAATAAGCCTAGATTTTTTAAACAACAACAACAATATTTAACTCCAAGTTGGCCCAAATTCATCAGGATTGCCCAATCTCTTCCCATCTGATTGGTGCTGCCTATACTTGTGCATCCATGCTAGCTGTTGCTTGTTACAACATCACACCCTGCAAACTCTGGATCCTAGTCTAAACCAACCTTCTCCAGCTTGATGTCCTTCAGAAACTGTGGTCCCAACCCAGCTGGAAGGAATAATATCAGGGAAATGTGCTGAAAGGTGTATTTCAACTCCAGATTGTCAATGGAGACCTTAACTTTCTTGACATTTGCAATTCTGGCATCAATAAGAGTAGAAAAATGGTAGTCCCATTGAGTGCTTCCAATGTATTTTTTTTTTCCCCTCTGGGTGACTGCATGGATACATGTAATTTTCCTGGCAAATATTTGGAAGTGCTTTCCCATTGCCTTCTATTATGATGGTTTTTCAACTTTCCAACTTCTGAACTTCCTTATTAATTTACTAACCGGTTCCAATCCTACTTAGGTTCTGACAAAATTGTCCGGCGCTGCCATCTGT